TCAGCTGATAAGCACCTTCAGCAAAGTGGGTGGACACAAAATGAACTCAAAAAAATCAGAAGCCCTCCTGTATACCAAAGAGAAAAAGGGCTGAGAAAGAAATTAGGGAAACAACACCCTACACAATAGCCACTAATAACATAAAGTACCTTGGTGTGACTCTAACCAAGCAAGTGAAAGACCTGTTTGATAAAAAACTTCAAGTCTCTGAAGAAAGAAATTGAAGAAGATATCAGAAGATGGAAGATCTCCCGTGCTCATGGATCAGTAGGAATTAACATAGTGAAAATGACCATTCTGCCAAAAGCAATCTACAGATTCAATGCAATTCCCATCAAAATACCAATGCAATTCTTTATAGATCTTGAAAGAACAATTCTCAACTTCATATGGAAAAACAAAAAACCCAGAATTTCCAAAACGATCCTGTACAACAACAGGTCTTCTGGAGATATCTCCATCCCTAACCTCAAGCTGGACTACAGAGCAATAGTAATAAAGACTGCACGGTATTGGCATAGAAACAGAATGATGGATCAATGGAACCGAATGGAAGACCCAGAAATAAATCCACACACCTATGAATATCTGATTTTTGACAAAAAAGCCAAAACCATTTAATGGAAAAAAGATAGCATCTTCAACAAACGGTGCTGGTCCAACTGGATATCTACATGCAGAAAAATGCAAATAGATCCATATTTATTACCCTGCACAAAACTAAAGTCCAAGTGGATCAAAGACCTCAACTTAAAATCAGACACACTAAATTGGTTAGAAGAAAAATTGGGGAAGAGCCTAGAACTCATTGGCACAGGAGAACTTCCTGAACAGAACACCAACAGCAGAAACTCTAGGTGCAACAATCAATAAATGGGACCTCATGAAACTGAAAAGCTTCTGTAAAGCAAAAGAATGTCATCAAAACAAAACGACAGCATACAGACTGGGAAAGGACTTCTTTAGTTCTTTATATATTCTGGATATGAGCCCTCAGTCAGATAGAGGGTTGGTGAAGGTCCTTTCCCAGTCTCAGTCGCTTTGTTTTAATGACAGTGTCCTTTGCTTTACAGAAGCTTTTCAGTTCAGGAAGTTTTCTCCTGTACCAGTTAGTTCTAGGGTCTTCCCCACTTTTTTTTCTAGCCGATTTAATGTGTCTGGTTTTATGTTGAGGTCTTTGATCCACTTGGAATTCAGTTTTGTGCAGGGTGATAAGTATGGATCTATTTCCATTTTTCTACATGTACACATCCAGTTAGACCGGTACCATTTGTTGAAGATGCTGTCTTTTTTCCATTGTATGGTTTTGGCATCTTTGTCAAAGATCAGGTGTCCATAAATTGTGTGGATATATTTCAGGGTCTTCTATTCAATTCCATCGATACACCATTCTGTTTCTATGCCAGTACCATGCAGTTTTTATTACTGTTGCTCTGTAGTACAACTTAAGATCAGGGATGGAGATACCTCTAGAAGATCTTTTATTGTAGAGGATTGTTTTAGCAATTCTGGGTTGCTTGTTATTCCATATGAAGTTGAGAATTTTTTTTCCAGGTCTGTAAAGAATTGTGTTGGTAATTTGATGGGAATTGCTTTGAATCTGTAGATTGCTTTTGGTAAGATGGCCATTTTTACTATGTTAATCCTGCCAAGCCATGAGCATGGGAGATCTTTCCATCTTCTCATATCTTCTTCTAATTCTTTTTTCAGAGACTTGAAATTTTTTTCATACAAGTCTTTGACTTCTTTGGTTAAGGTTACTCCGAGGTACCTTATGTCATTTGTGGCTATTGTGAAGGGTGTTGTTTCCCTAATTTCTTTCTCAGCCCTTTTGTCTTTAAAGAAGCTGAAAAGCAGCAAACCAAGTAATCCAGTTAAAAATGGGGAACAGAGCTAAACAGAGAACTCTCTGTAGAGGAATATCAAATGGCAGAGAAGCACTTAAAGAAATGCTCAACCTCATTAGCCATTAGGGAAATGCAAATCAAAACAACCCTGAGATTTCACCTCACACCCATCAGAATGGCCAAGATCAAAAACTCAAATGACAACACATGCTGGAGAGGTTGTGGAGAAAGGGGAACCTTCTTCCATTGCTGGTGGGAATGTAAACTTGTACAACCATTCTGGAAATCAATCAGGCACTTTCTCAGATAAACAGGCATAGTGCTTCCTCAAGATCCAGCCATACCACTCCTCCTAGGCATATATCCAAGAGGCGCAAATTCCCAATAAGGACATTTGCTCAACCATGTTTGTAGTAGCTTTTTTGTAATACCCAGAAGCTGTAAACAGCCTAGATAGCCCTCAACTGAAGAATGGATGCAGAAATTGTGGTACATCTACACAATGCAATATTACTAAGAAATGAAAAATAAGGAAATCATGCAATTTGCAGGTAAATGGTAGGACCTGGAAAGGATCATCCTGAGTGAGTTGTCCCAGAAGCAAAAAGACACACACGGTATATACTCACTCGTATAGACATGCAACATAGCATAAACCCACTAAAATCTGTACATCTAAAGAAACAAAGCAAGAGAGGGGACCCTAACTAAAATGCTCAATCCCCATCCTGAAAGGCAAAGAGGAAGGACATCAGAAGAGGAAGAAGACAGGAAACAAGCTAGGAACTTGCTACAGAGGGCCTCTGAAAGGCTCTACCCTGCAGACTACCAAAGCAGATGCTGAGACTTATGGCCAACTGTTGGACAGAGTTCATGGAATCTTATGTAAGAAGTGGGAAATAGAAAGAGCTGCAAAGGACAGGAACCCCACAAGGAGAACAACGGAACAAGAAAATTTGAACACAGGGGTCTTCCCAGAGACTCATACTCCAACCAAGTACCATGCATGGAGATAACCTAGAACCCCTGCACAGATGTAGCCCATGGCAGTTCAGTGTCCAAGTGGGTTACATAGTAATGGGAAGAGGGACTGCTTCTGACATAATCTGATTGGCCTGCTCTTTGGTCAAGTCCCCCTTAGGGGGGAACAACCTTACCAAGCCACAGAAGATGACAAAGCAGCCACTCACGATGTGAGCTGATAGACTAAGATCAGAAGGAAGGAGAGGAGGACCTCCCTTATAAGTGGACTTGGGGAGGGGCACACGTGAAGAAGGGGGAGGAAGGGTGGGATCGGGAGGGTATGAGGGAGGGGCTTATGGGGGGATACAAAGTGAATAAAGTGTAATTAATAATAATAAAAAAACAAAAATAAATAAAAAAATAAAACGTTTTTATTAGCTGAGCCAATACTACACTGGGTGTCTGGGATCCCATTGTAGCTTTGAGCGTTTCTCATGGTGAGCTTTTCAGCCCCAAAATATATTCTGGGCTGAGAAAGCACATAAGCTTTCATGGTCTCTCCATCAGCTTCTGCCTCCAGGTTCTTGCCTTGTTTGAGTACCTGCCCTCTGTGTTTCTGATGACGAACTGTTATATGGAACTTTGAGTGAAATAAATCCTTTCCTGTCCTATATATTTTGGGTAGACATTTTTCAGTTAAAGAGAACAATTAGCCAGAAGAAGAACTGAAAGAGCAAAGTTAGTATATTCAGATATTATCTTAGAACTATATGAACTTTGATGGATTAGGCCTTTGTTTTCATTTTAGCAAGTGCTGCTTTCTATGTGCTGAGTTTTATGGACTGAATGGTACTTCCATCATGGATTCAGTCATGCTAAGGTCTGGGGGGTCCTTCTACTAAAGTCTGGAGCACTTCCCTCTATTGCCTTCTGTGAACACATTTCCTCAAAAAAACAAGCAAATACTAGTCTAGATTTTTGTAACTTTCTTCGTATTTCGTTGTCATGATCAATGGAAGATAGAAAGAGACCTCTTCTTTTGGAAGGGGAGAGGGTTTTGAGACAGGGTTTCTTTGTCTAGCCCTGGCTGTCTTGGAACTTGATCTGTAGACCAGGCTGGCTTCAAACTCACAGGGATTGACCTGCCTATGCCTCCCAAATGCTGGGCTTAAAGGCATGGGCCACCACTACTCAGACTTTTGAACAGCATGAAATTAAACAAGAATGTTTCTTTTCCTTCTAAAATAGTTATTTGCAAACTATAAGCTCTTGTCCGAAGAAGTAGGACTAAAAGCTTTGAACAGTTTCTTGATTTTAGATGAAGTCAACAGCTAGAGTTTAATTCTAATCTGAGAAGGACAGCAGCCTGAAAGCCTCACCCAGGAAATTTTAGCTTCTTTGCCTTTATTGTATCATAATGTGAACTTGTTTGTCTGCCATGTTTTCTGGGGAACCTTGGGTATAAAATAACTCCCACCTTGTTTCCTGGAAGTCCAGGATCCTTTGTGACTCATTTTGGACTCTCTCACATAGTGTCATGTGTAGGGGGGTTGCTCCATATGGCCTCATTATCAAAATTGTTCTGCCAAAGCCTTCCCTGATGATATCCCCTCTCCCATGGCTTGCTATGGCATGTTCCATTGAGTCCTCAACTAGGGAAACAAAGGGATTTTCAATAGTGAAGGAAGTCATCACAGGAAAAGGCAGTCTAACACACAGGACCAGAAAGAGGTAAGTAATGAAGGTACTTAGGGTTTTGTGTATGGGTGTGCCCTGTTGTCAAAGTTTAGGATGCCAAACCTCTAAGTAGACTGGAAACAATTCAAGAGGAAGAATTGTTTTCTAGTTTGGCTGCAAAAGTGTTGGGTCATCCTTCACCTGAGTCCATTTTTTGGATCATGGTTTCTCTTTTGCTTGCTTAACACTAATGCTACTCTTATATTTTAGTAAAGAAAGTTCCACTAGTCCCAAGTTATTCTTAAGGTATTTTTGAGGACAGTGGTTCTTTCTAGGGGTTCTTTCTCTTAGAGGCCCTAGATGTACCTTTACCCTCAACAAGGAATAATAAGTCTAGTCAGGAAGGCCTGCCACAGCATTTGGAGAGCTTCTCCCACCTTGTCCTTGAGTCAGAGCCATATGTTCCACACATGTCCCTCTCTTTTTTTTCTTCCATTCCAGATAACCACCAACATGCCCACAAACAAGAAAATTCCATCCAAGAAAGAGTCCAGTCAGTCAAAAAATGGAGTCCAAAAACCTGAAACATCAAGGAAGAGCCAAGATGATAAGACCACTTCAGAGGGCCACTGTCCAGGTGGGCTGGTAATGAAAGTTGTTATGGCAGGTTAAAAGATCAGGAAACTGTGGTCTAGGTGCCTTTAAGGGATAGAGAAAAAGCCTTTTGCAAAGAGCCATTTTTTCTTTCATTGCTTTGCCTATCCTTTTTTTATATTCATTTTTTTTTTGTTTTGTTTTTCTTTCACTTTCATCTTTACTTGTTGGGACTAGGACCTTGGTTGGTAAGTAAAATTAAATTTTAATTTTAGAGACAAAATATAATTATCTGTGTTTGAAGCCTTATTAGTGTTTTAATTACTTAAAGATATGGGAAATATAAAGCAGACACAACAAGGCAGTTTCCTGTATCAACTAACAGTGATTGTGATGGCATACACAAGATCTGCACAAGCTCAACCCAGAATAGGTGAGAGAAGAAATTTCACCCTTAGTTGTGAAGCTTTTGATACTTGATACCTTCTGGGGTACAGAGAACCAGTTTTCTTTTAGAATGTGTCCCATAGTAGGTCAACTACTCTCCCAAGTAGATGGCTACACACTAAGTTACCAATAACTCGTCAGTTGTGTTGTTGTCATCTATTGATCCATGAACATAAGACTTTCCAGCTTTTAGTGTCTCTCTAGTGATTTGTATTTTCAGCATTTTGTAATACTCATTTCATAGATCTTACACATACGTGGGGAAATTTATTCTAGGGCATTTTTCAGACTATTTTGATGGGATTACTTTAATGAGTTCCTTATCTCTAAATTTATTACTGATATATAGAAAGCTTCTGATTTTTACAAAAAATTAGGACAATTTCATACACTTATGAAATAAGAGGTTTTATGCACAATTTCATATATGGCTATAATATATCTTGATAAGATTTACCTCTTATTATTTTCTCTTGTCCTGTTGAACTATTTCTTGTGTCCAACTAGTCTCCCTTCTACTTTCATGCTCACTTTTGTGATTAAATAAATTTAAATAAAGTTCCTTGAATAAGGATGGGTGGGCGTTATTTCTTGGCATTAGGGTGGATCTTATCAGCTGTGAAAATGGTCTACACCCACCCTCAGTAGCCAGTTAACTGTCTAAAGCTCCTCAGAGTGGAGTGGGACCTCATGATCCCCAGTCCCAATCTACCATGACAAGTTGATGGACTTGATCTTGTGTGGATATTGTATGGGTATATACCATGGGTGCATGGTTGCAATGGCTATAACATACCCAGAAGACAGTATTTTACACTACACCTCTCCCATCTCTGGCTCTTAATTCTTTCTGTTGTTATTTTTGTGTGGTTATTTTGTGTTGTTATTTTCGTTATTATATTTTGTGCCCTCCTGATGGATGGAAAGGTATGCAGACCACTCACAACTCCAAGGGTCACAAATCTGAGTCACAGCTATGAGGACTGGAAAGGTGCCTGAGCTCTGAAGTGGGACGAAGTCCCAAGGGTATCCTGAGACACAGGATCCCAGGAACCTCACAGCTCTGGGTGGGACAGTGTCCCAAGGGTATCCTAAGGCATGGAAACCCATGAAACCTCTTCAGCAGAGACATTGCAGCCCCGCGGTTGCCCAGCCCCTGATGAGCTGAGGAGCCTAGGAGCCTAAATTCTGCTCTTTCTCCAGTTCTTGCAGCTCCCATGGGAGAGTCACCCAGCTCCTGATGAGCTGATGAGCCTAGGAGCCTGTGCTCCATTCCTTCATTTCTTCTCTTCTTCCTCTGATGGGTGAATCACAGTAAGCAGTAAATCTCTTAAAAGAGATTTATTGAAGGGGTGAATGCAGGAGTGGCTGCGTCTGCTCCTGGGAGAAGGCAACAGGGAACTGGGTCAAACAGCTTTTATATAGGAATTCTTAGGGGTGCAGTGCTTTCTGGGGCAGGGATTTCCAGAGTGTGGATTGGTGGGATTTCAGGTCCTGAGCTGTGGTAAGCTCAGGGATTGGTGAGCTTTCCTATTCAAGGATTGGTCTGTTTTCTTGCTCAGGGATTGGTGGGGTTTATTTTGCAGACGTTACCAGCATGCTGGGGTCATTATTAGGGCAAAATGGTGACACAGAAGTGAGTTCATAGGCTCTTTTAATAGACAGTTAGGGGCTTTATGTGGTAGCTGTTAAACTAATCAGTCAGGAATGACATAAAGGTACTAGAGGGTTTAGGATTGGCTGATTGCTTAAGGATTTTCCATAGTTGCTGGGGACCTTGTGGACTATTGCTGTTTGGCTTTTACTTATGTGTTGACCTTTAATTTGATTGGTTAGGGCCTGCAGTGCTTTACTTTGGGAACAGCAAGGTCATGTATTCATAAACATAGCTTTTGGTCAACTTGTAAGCTGATTGGTTGTGGCTTTTCCAGGAATTCTTTGAAGTCTGAAAAACAGAAACTCAGGCATACTCAGACAAAATGGAGAAAAGAAGCCTGTCATGGCGTCAGATTAGCCAAACAGATAGACACTAAATCTGCCCCAGCTTATTCAAGTACCAGCCAGGCCCAATCAGAATAGATCAAGGCCATCTGGGATGGTATGCCAGTAGACTCCTGACCCCTCAGCTATTGAACCTCAATAGGGATTGGTTAGGGTCATTGGAGGCTACATCGCTCTGATTAGAATTGGCTGGCTTCTTGGAATTAAGTGCTCTTAATACAAAGTGTCCAAAATATACAGACAGTTCACTGTGAAGGCAGCAGACTGAAGCAGGAAAGGTTGTGTTTATCATGGGGGGCAGCAGTGGCAGTACCTCTTTTGGAGGTATCTCCATCCCTGATCTTAAGCTGTACTATAGAGCAGCAGTAATAAAAACTGCATGGTACTGGCTTAGAAACAGAATGGTGGATCAATGGAACCAAATAGAAGACCCAGAAATAAACCCACACACTTATGGATACTTTATTTTTTACAAAGAATCAAAAACCATGCAATGGAAAAAAGATACATTTTCAACAAATTGTGCTGGTTTAACTGGATGTCTACATGTAGAAAAATGCAAATAGATCCATATTCATCACCCTGCACAAAACTAAAGTCCATGTGGATCAAAGACCTCAACATAAAACCAGACACACTAAACTTGTTAGAAGAAAAAGTGGGGAAGAACCTTGAACTCATTGGTACAGGAAACAACTTCCTGAACAGAACACCAACAGCACAGGCTCTAAGAGCAACAATCAATAAATGGGACCTCATGAAAATGAATTTTTTTTTAAATTCCGTCAGTCTATGATTTTATACTGGTGAGATGAGGATATTTTATTTTACCATTTTTGAGCAAGGTTTTAGTTCTTATGCTTTTGTTGGATTCTGTTCGAACTGGTTAGACTATTGGCAGCTAGTCACTTTCTCCCATATACATGTTAGGAGTTTGCTGATCTCTCATGTTGGACAGGATAGAATCTTTCCTGGTTCATCATCTATCCCCCTCTCCTTGTAGATAATACTGCTTTCATCATGGAGAACATTTCTTTAAGCATTTAACAGTCTTGGTTTAATTGTCCTAAATTGCCTTAATTTATGCTTGTCTTAAAATGTTCTTATTTCTTCATCAGTAACTTTTCTGGATATAGCAATCTTGACAGTTGACATTGATTTACTTTCAGAGTTTAAAGCATCATTTTGTGCTTTCCTGTCTTAGTGGTGCAGATGAGAGGGCCGATGTCATTATGATGTTTCTGTTCCTATTTTTTCCTCTTTCTCCAGTCTTCTATTTTACATGAATTTTCCTGATAAGCTGTCATTATTTATTATTTGTTTTCTTCTGGTGTTTAGGGCAGAGAATAAACACACTCATAGATTTAATAGCATTACATTTGTTGACTAGCAATAGAAGACTCTCCTGCACTAACTTCACCTAATGTCCATGATAGGATTCAGAAAAAGCAACACTATGGTACTGGCTTAAGAAAATAAAGTTAATAGCTTTTGTTTGTTTTGGAGTAAAATGTGTTAATATTTGAATAGTGAAATGAAGAAATAGGAAGAAGGTTAGTAACATCAGAATGAAATTGTTTGGGTGATAGTTATGAGAATAGTAAGAGAAACTGTTGTAGAGGTAGGAAAGATGTTGCAGATAGAGAAAGGACAGTCAAATACAGATTAAGACAGGAGACCTTAACAATTAAAGTACAACATTGTAAATAAAAACAATAAGGAAATACAACAAATGGAAAAGGAATAACACTATGTAGAAATTATTCCTTCAGCCAATGTTTCATGGTTATGCGAATGACATGATTTCTATCTATGGAGTGTCTTTTGCTAAGGGGACATTGCTGCTGATTTCACTAATTCAAATATGTTCAATATGTGTATTCTTCCTGTTGAGAAGGATATTATGGCCAAAGTTTCCTTTCTGACAGTATTCCCTAGTCTCAGGCCATTTTCCTATAAGTTTTTTGTTTTGTTTTGTTTTGTTTTTTTGTTTTTGTTTGTTTGTTTTTGCCACTGTTGTATTCATGTTTACCCAGGAGGGGAATTTTGAATACCATCTTTAGCTTTTCTTGTGTACTGGATGATGTTTAAGAGAAAACTTTCATTTTTAGTGTCCAACACACATCAGATAGCAGTAGTATACTGCAGTTAGAGTCAGGAATAATTCTTCTTAGCTGAAAAGGTCTCAGGAAAAAGAACACATGGAATGCAGCCTGCTCTCGGCTAAGCTTCTGTCTGGGACTTCTTTGGCCATGTGCCCTGGAAGAAGATTTAAGGTTAGGGTTGTTTCTTGACAGAACTTTTACATAAGTAGTATGAACCATAGATTTATAGAAGTTGGTTGTGACTCAAAATAGGTAGACTTTCTTTTGGGGGAGGTGCTTGGAGGAGTGAGGAAAAGCGGGATGTGGATGACATTGGGAAAAATTCTCTCCAGCTCTTTTTATCTTGTATGCCTTGGACACAGAGTTCAGGCCAGGCGACCAAAATGTGCCACAGAATGCCTCTATGGGGTATATGAACAGTGGAAACTTAGTAGTTCTCTCCACCTTGTTAGTAACAGCCATCTATATCTGGCATTAAAAGAAAGGTGGCGGGATTGGTGTTGCCAGCTTCCAGTAGTTTGGAAACCAACAAAAATCCACCTCGACGAGCCACATAGTCGTAGAGTGTCCTGATTCCCTGGTCCTTGTGGATGGTGCCTTCCCTTTTCCTTACTCTTGCAGTTCCCCTTCCTTATTAAATAGCACCCAATAGGTCTGAGTCAGCATCCATCCACAATGAGCCAAGTTTGGCTCATGAATCAGTTAACCACAAAGCCAGAAAAAGGAAATGTTGCGGACTTCAGAGATTCATATTTGGACTTTTTGATTTACTTAAAGCACAAGAAAAGTAGAAAATAATGTTCTTAAATATCTCCTGACAATAGCACAGATTTCTTCTGCCATCACCAGGTACTATTGGGAAGTCAGTCTTTCTGCATGGCCAAACTGCTTAGTACATTTCAAGCTTCTTATCTATTTAGGCTGAGAGCTGCAAAACTTTCCCTTAGGAGTCCCAGTGTCTGGGACAAGCAGGTGAAGGAATATTTTGTTTCTCTAATTCTGTTTCACCTGCATCCAAACTTTACAAAATTTCCCCCCTTTTTTTCTCCTGAATTCAAATGTTCTCCTTTAGCCTCTTATAACAACATGTAGCCCTAGACTGTGTGGTTTTGATTCCACTTTGTACGGGAGCAGTTAAGTGCTGGATACTTCAATTCAGCCATCTTGCTTCTCCCCTTTGAATATAATTTTGCTGTCTCACGTGGAAGTTTTTCTTTTATATCAGCTAAAAATTCTGTTATTTATAAACGGACTTCTTCACAGTGTCTTACAGAGTTCAGAATATCTCAAGTATTGAAATGTCAAATGAATCTCAGATTCCTCTGATGAATCTTGATTTTGAGGACTAAAGAATCTGAATAAATCCTTGCATAGAGTATAAACTCCATTTGTGTAGGTGTCTTTTTGATCTTTTTAAAATGTGCTATTGTAGAATTTTACTATTGGACCACAAATGAGGTTTTGTGAGACATTGGGAGATTGATAGCCTATGATTGGACCATTATACATAATTTTTGAGCTTTAAGTTCAAAAGTTTATTCAGAAAAATGCTTAGTAACAAAATAATGCTAGCATCACTATAGGCAGCACACAGACACAAAATCTCATAGGTATAAAAACATAAGCCTTTCGTCATTTAGTTCAATATATTTTGTGACAATTTTTTGAAGAAAAAGATTTAATTATGTATAATTGTGTATGTTTGTGGAGGGTATGTGTATATGACTACAGGTACTTGTGGAGGCTAGAACAGGGCCCTGGATCCCTTGAAGCTAGAACTACAAGCAGTTGTGTACATGTATCCATGTGTATGAACATGTATAAATACAGAGTGCAAGTCCATTTAGTGCTGTTCATATATGCATTTAGGGATGACCCTTTAGGATTGGATAATCTATCATTGGGCACAACCTCTACACCCAATGCTCTGATAATGGTGTGGTAAAGGGGTACCAGAAAACCAGGACATCTGGACTGTCTTTTATATATGACAGGGAGCTACACCCATGTATTTGGAACAATACAGTCACCTAAACAAGACCTGCAAAATGACAATACTAGTTTTCATCTAAACGTGGATAGGTAAAATATTACAAAGATCAATTTCTAGATGAAGAGTTACAGGCAATTAGGATCTACTGACAGGGAAAAATCAGTCCACATTTTCAACAGCACAATTATATACTGCACACTTTCTTAATATAATTTTGTCTATGTGCATAGTTTGTTCTCTAATAGCAAATTTGTGTGGGATCGCTTTTGATAACTGCTGTGCTGTGTGTTTCTTCCAGAGAGCCAGCCTGCAATACTTTCAACTGAAGATATAGAGACAGTTAATGAAGTTTCCAAATTGAGTATTGCTCATGAAATCATAGTAAACCAAAATTTCGTGGTAGAAGAGAATTATTTACCTCAAGGAAGGTATATCACTTCTCCCCTGAGAGGTGGGGTGCAGGCTTGCCAGGCCACAGAGGAAGACAATACAGCTAGTCCTGATGAGACCTGATAGGTTAGGGTCAGATAGACGGGGAAGAGGTCCTCCCTTATTAGTGGACTAGGGGAGAGTCATAGGGGGAGAAGAAGGAGGGAGGGTTCAGTTGGGAGGAGACAAGGGAGGGGACCATAGCCAGGACACAAAGTGAATAAATTGTAGTAAATAATAATAATTAATAAAAATGCAAAAGAAAGGTATATATTCTTCTTTGTCTGTCTGTCTATCTGTTTTTCTTGGTATAGTTACACAGTGTAGATGATTTTGTGTCATATTTGATTTGTTTTATTAAAACATGGGGTTCGAGTTTATCTTAAAAAGTATCAAATAGAACAGAGTAATCAGTATAATTATTTAATTTAGAGTGGCTGCTCTTCTAGAGACATGGATTCAATTCCCAGCGCACCCATATGGCTGCTAATAACTGTAACTCCAATTCCAGGGTATCTGACACTCTCACAGAGACATACATGCAGGCAAAACACCAGTGAATTTAACCAAGAGGTTCCTGTAGAACAGATAATCAGAGAGCTATTGTGAAGAGGGGTAAATTCTCTCATAGCTAGTGAATGGAATTAGTAGTATAGAATTGCTTGGCAGCCTATCAGGGAAGACTGTCTTGAAATCATACTGTTTGAGTTGAATCTCAAGAGTATGAACAGATACATTTTAGATTGTCTATTGTGAAAAGTACTCTAAGAGGAAATGTTTCTTCAAGGGCATAGAAAGGTAGAAAATAATTACTACTTGATCCAAACCGATTACTGTTGTTCCAGTGCAAAGTGTTTGGAGAAGGAAGGATTCAAAGTTATGGAGACTTGACAGAATAGAATCACCTTGAGTCATTGAGATTATATATCTGGCTTCTGTTATCAAGCTCTTAAAAGATATTAGATGGACAGGATATGATAAGCAGATTTGGATCTTGGGAAAATCATTGATTTTTAGCAAGGACACGTCACATTTTAGGGGAAAATGGTCATTTTCTAGGCTATCTTAAATATACAGGTGTGGCATGATGTTTGGCTAAGATGGGTTTCAGAGACACTTAAGAAACAGACTGTCTGGATTTGTTGACAGAACGGATAAAATGAATAAGGACAGTGGAATGCAAAACTTTGGCACATGTGAGATGGGTGGTAGGTGATTGCCTTTCACAAGGTAGATTGGTGTGTTGAGGGAGAAACTAATTATTTTTTTATCATTTGTATTTAAAAATAAAATGTGCATTTTCTTATAAAAAAGTAAGATTTCTGGTTTTTAGAAATAAGGTAAATGAAATGAGAAATAAGGTCTGAAAGGGGAAAGTAAATTTTATTTAGACTTTCTGTGAAGTGTATGAAATCCTTCAGTATTATCAACACAAAACAATCCTTTCCTATACTTCAGACCTGACGAAAATACCACATACTATGTATGTAGAAATATAAATACATAGTCACACATATAGGCTAGAGGTAGGATTACAGTCAGAAGTCAAAGTCCAATTTTAGTTTATATTCTTCTGAATGGGGAGGTAGAGGGAGGGAAAGGAGAAAAGAAAAGCAGGAAGTGGGGGAATGGATGGAAGGAGCAAGAGGAGAGAGTGATCAGAGTGAGAGTGAGTGAGAGTAGATATAGACACAAACACAGAAAAATATTGATGGGGGTAAAGAGACAGAGAGGTCTATTGAGAGGGGGAGAGAGAAAGAGAAAAAGAGACACACGGAGATTTTGGGAGGGAGGGAGAGAGTAGGGAATGGAAGCAGGAAGACAGAGACTAACCTGCACTCTGGTACTTTTTTGAGAAGATCCAAGGTTTTCTTGTATGTTTTTTTTTTAATATTTATATTTTTGGGTTTCATTTGTTTGTTTTTAATCTGAGACTGTAGGTTTTGCAGCATTTCTTAAATCTAAACATAGCACCTCCTTGGCTTATCACTTTAATGTTTTTATTTTAATGATTTTAAATACTGTTTGAGGGATCATGATCCTGTATCAAGTCTCTAGGTAAAGATCAATTTACACATTTAACTTTCTTAATAGTCTAGAAAACAAGTTTGTGGAGACAATGTGCAATGCATTTTGGGACCACTTGAAAAATCAACTGTCAAGTACTCCTCCTGACTTTTCTTGTGCTCTTGAACTTATAAACAACATAAAACAAGTGAGTAGCCAGCCTTCTCTCTGTTGATGCAAAGTCCCCGTACCTTATAGCCTGGATTACTAATATTAGGATTATTAATGTTCACAATAGCTTACTTTATGAATGCATATGGGATGGATTGACTCCCATTTTACTTGTATGAGATATAGTTTGAAGGTTAGGGTGTTACTTTATTTAATAACATAATGGATCATTCAATAAAAATGTATTTTTACTCAAATTCCACTATGTTTTAAGTGTTCCAAAAGCACAAAGAGTAATGAGAGCTATTACTCAAAAGGTACTTACATTTTGAGTCAGAAAGTTATTTTAAGTGACCACTTAAAAATACTTTGCTTGCCTGGTGCTGGTGGTACACACCTTTAATCCCAGCACTTGGGAGACAGAGGCCGTTTGATCTTTGTTGAGAATACATCCTTATTTTGTGCAGGTACATATATTGTTGTAACCTGTACTTAATTGTTTTCCATTCTCATTTTTTTTCATGTTCTTAATGTCATTCTCACTTGAAAATAGTCACTATTGCTATAAATAATTTCTGTGAAGCTTAGAATTATAATTGTCTTCTAAACAAAGAGAAATAACTGTCTAAGAAATTTAGAGACCCACTTTATTGACCCCTAGAAAAAAAGTCTGATATGCCTTTAACCTGAAAGCACTGTTCCGTGGGTGTAAGTTTAAGATTCTAAACATAATATGGCTCCGTTGGTTTTCTTTTGTGAGCAGATTTTGGTGTCACTGCTATTACCACGTCAGAACCATCTAAGAAATGAGATTGAAGAAGCATTAGACATGGATCTTCTCAAACAAGAAACTGAACACGGAGCTCTGGATGTTCCTCATCTCTCAAATTATATCCTCAACTTGATGGCTCTCATGTGTGCACCAGTTAGAGATGAAGCCGTACAGAAACTAGAAAGCATAAAGGATCCAGTACAGTTACTAAGGCAAGAATATAGTCATGCTGTTTTATCTATTGTCTGTTGTTAACAATGTTCCATCACAGTATAAGTAGATTACAAAGAAAAAAAAAAACAAAACGTATTTTGGCTCTCTTCTTAGAAGTCCAAGGTTGAGGGACTGATTCCGATGAAAGCTTTTGTTGCTAATGGAATCTCAAGGTATTACAGAACACCACACAATGAAAGAAAATCCTGTGTGTGTGTGTCCTAGTTTTTTCTTTTTTGTGAAATCACTTGTATTCAATCCATGGAGGTTCTAGTCCACCATTCTCGTGTAATCTTGGTCACCGTCTAGAGGATTCATCCATAAACTCCATAGTTGAATTAAGCTTTCCACCCTTTCAGTATCTCACAGTTGAGTTTAATGTTTAGTAGTTTTGGAGCAGCAAACTATTTTTAAATCATAGCATATGCTGCTCCCTAAATCTGCCTTATGTACCATCAAAGAAAACTTTGATCCAAATATTACTATAGACTCTGTCATACTTGTATTCCTGTGCTGTATAACTAACATATTTTTTCACTTTTTTATTTTTAACAAATTATATTTATTTTATATGTATGAATATTTTTCCTGTTAAAATGTATGCACCATTTGTATGTCTAGTATTTGCTCTGGCCAGAAAAAGTTGTTGGGTCTTCTGCAACTGGAGTCATGGATGTTCTTAACCCACTATGTGAGTGCTGGAAATGAGTCCAGGCCTCTGTAAGAGCAGCAAGTCCCTTAATGACTGAGAAATCTCTCCAGCCCCTCCCCCTTTAAACATTTTTGAATTTCATACATGATACAGTGGATATTGTCCTTCCAATCCTGATGATCCCTTTCCTCCTCCCAGTTATTCCTCTTCTGAAATTTTGTCTGGCTTTATGCAGGATATGCCCAAGTAGCTGCACCTGCTCTGTGTTCATGATTGCAATGGCCTTGCTAAATCCAGAAGACATCATTTCCTAGCACTCCTCTTTATCCTTTGGCTCTAACAGTCTTTCCATCCTCTCTTCTATAATGCCCCATGGACCATGAAGTGGGTGATATACATGTCCTATTTATGTCTGGGTAATCAGCAATCACTTATTTTATCACTTTGACCAACTATGAGTTTCATCATTAACTGTTAACATAGTGTACAAAACGTGTTCTAAATCCCAGGCTGAGAAACACTGCTCACTAACATCTTTTTACTCCCTGTCCTTTTACTTGGCAATGACAGTCTCTCTGGTTTATTTTAATGCCATTTAAAATGATCATTTGTATCCCATACATTACATGAAAACTTAACATGATGCTCTTAAGACATTTAAGTATAGCACTAATTCCATCCATCCCATCTGCAATGTTTTTCTATTTCTCCCAGTCTAAACTCTAAGTAGAAACAGAAATGAAGACTCTCAGAGTCTCACAGCTAAAAAACTAGGACCCAGAAAAGAAAAAAAAGTGATTTGTTTATGAGTTGGAAATTAATAACCCACATTGCAACCATTCATAGACAATTATTAGCTGTTGGGTGATTTTTTTTTCCATTGAGTACCCTTTCCTGAATGTAGCAGAGTAGTAACAGTGCAAAAAGCTCTACAGTGTCAGACTATGTGTCTCTTTTTAGTTTTACTACCAATTTACCTTCTGGCTTTTGGTCCCTGAATGGTGCATTTGTTTATGTCTTAGTCTGTTTTATAATGTGTTTATAAGGTATATGAATAGTCTTGGTCAGCCTGACTTCCATAGTTTTATTGGATCCATCCTGTGTAAGAATTGCTTATCAATTCAAGTGTCTCGCTTGCAGCATCTGTACTGGGAAGTTCTATAGTGCTGGAGTCTTGGAGGCTGCCCCAGAGCTCCAATCCAATAGACGTGTATGTGTGTGTTGTCTCATATGTTTTTGAACTCAAGGCAGAGATTGCTATTGAAAGTAGCCTGGTAACTACTTCAGTATTATGCTGAGAAATGTCATTTCCTTGATATCTCAGGGCATTGCTCTTAAAACTTGCCTTCTATAAAGCACTTTGAATGTGGACACAATTAATTCAAGGTATTTGCTAGTTTATATCAAGGAGGACTTTTAATCTACTTTCCATATGATAAGCCTTTCTGTTTCTAATAAGACATTTTGATTCTTCATTTTCATTTCAGACGTTGTCATAATGGTCTTTAGTACCTATATTTCTACCAACATTTTGATCATGATTACTTTAGTAATGTTCAAAAATATCAAACATAGTACAAATATTCTCTTCTTCTGAGCCCTCACTCAAGTCATCCTTAACATCCTCTTCACATTAACAGACCTTTTCCTAATAGCCTGTTTCTCCAAACTATTTTAGATTCTTCCCATTTCCTATATATTCAGGTATTTGATAGATCAGCAGCCCTACTTTTCAATTTTACTCTTCTCCCTTAGTCTATTTTGTTGTGCTATCAGCAAAATGCTCAAGATTTGGAATTTATAAAAGGCATAGATTTATTTCTTAGTTATGGAGGATGGAGCATCTAACACCAAGTGACTGCACTTTAGGGGGTGGTTTTCTTGACACATTATAACATGAGAGAAAGCATTATCCGGTCAAATAGAGCAACATTAAATTCTTAGCCTCACATCTTTTTATAATTGAATTCTCTTATTTGTCAGAAAGGATCCCTCACGACACAAACACCTCTCAGTAAGCCTCTGCTTAAAAGCAATTTAAAAAGTTTTGGGCTACATATTCAAATACTAGCTGTTTGTAATTGGAGTAAGTACTTTACAACCCCTTTCTTATTCTCAATACTGGGATTTTATTATTCTTTCCTTGAGATCTGCTCCTGAAAACTAGATATCCTTTCAAACTCTAAATATTCTTTACTCATGTGTGACAGGGGCATCACCCAGGTTCTGGACCTGATGAAAATGGATATGATAAACTATACTATCAAGAGCATCCGACCATACTTGCTGGAACATTCTATCGAATATGAACGAGCTAAATTCCAAGAACTCCTGGACAAGCAGCCTGGTATGTTTAAATTTTAAGTAGGGGGGGAAATTGGATTTTAATTTCCTTTGTTACAGTGATTTTCTGTTTTTGAATAGAAAGATTACTTCTTAGATCAAGAGTTAAGAGAAGTAAAAATTTCAAACACAGAAACGCCTATACAAACTACCTTTTAAGAAATAAGTGTATTCTTTGATAATGTCATACATGTACACAGTGTAGACTGATCAGTATCAGGTACAGCCATTATTATGCCCTCCCACTACCACAATTTCCCTTTTAGAGAATCCCTTCTCTTACTTTCCTGTTTTTTTGTTTGATGACCACCTGAATTTGAAGATTACCTACATCATCATAGGTGTTGAACCATCAATTGGAGCAGGAACATCTCACTTGGTGTTACATCATCTAATGACTCCCTCTCCTCCAGCAGCCATCAAAGTAGTTCTTAAAAAGAGGCATAGCCCATGAGCCCTTCCCCTTCCCATAATTGGGTTTTGAGAGACACATTCTTTTTTTTTAATTTTTTATGAATTACACTTTATTCATTTTGTATCCCCCCATAAGCCCCTCCGTCCTCCCCTCCCGATTCCACCCTCCCTCCCCTTTCTGCATGCATGCCACTCCCCAAGTCCACTGATAGGGGAGGATCTCCTCTTCTTTCTGATCTTAGTCTATCAGTTCTCGTCAAAAGTGGCTGCATTGTGCTCTACTGTGGCCTGGTAAAGCTGCTCCCCCCTCAGGGGGAAGTGATCAACGAGCAGGCCAATCAGATTATGTCAGAGGCAGTCCCTCTTCCCATTACTATGGAACCCACTTGGACACTGAACTGCCATGGGCTACACCTGTGCAGGGGTTCCAGGTCATCTCCACGAATAGTCCTTGGTTGGAGTATGAGTCTCTGGGAAGTTCCCTGTGTTCAAATTATCTTGTTCTGTTGCTCTGCTTGTGGAGTTCCCGTCCCCTCCAGCTCTTACTTTTTCCCACTTCTTACATAAAATTCCATTCACTCTGCCCATCAGTTGGCCATCAGGCTCAGCATCTGCTTTGACAGTCTATACTGCAGAAGCTTTCAGAGGTCCTCTGTGGCAGGTATCAAGGTTGTTTCCTGTTTTCTTCTGGCTTTCAGAGGCCCTCGGTAGCAGGTTCCGAGGTTGTTTCCTATTTTCTTTTTCTTCTGATGTCCATCCTCTTTGACTTTCAGGATGGGGATTGAACATTTTAGTTAGGGTCCTCTCTTTTGCTTAGTTTGTTTAGATGTACAGCTTTTAGTGGGTTTATTCTATATTGTATGTTTATATGAGTGAGTATATACCATGCGTGTCTTTTTGCTTCTGGGACAACTCACTCAGGATGATCCTTTCCAGGTCCCACCATTTACCTGCAAATTTCATGATTTCTTTATTTTTCATTGCTGAGTAATACTCCATTGTATAGATGTACCACAGTTTCTGCATCCATTCTTCAGTTGAGGGGCATCTGGGTTGTTTCCAGCTTCTGGCTATTACAAATAAAGCTGCTACAAACATGGTTGAGCAAATGTCCTTTTTGTGTACTTGCGCCTCTTTTGGGTATATGCCTAGGAGTGGTATGGCTGGATCTTGAGGAAGCGCTATTCCTAGTTGTCTGAGAAAACGTCAGATTGATTTCCAGAGTGGTTGTACCAGTTTACATTCCCACCAGCAGTGGAGAAGGGTTCCCCTTTTTTCCACAACCTCTTCAGCATGTGTTGTCCCTTGAGTTTTTCATCTTGGCCATTCTGATAGGTGTAAGGTGAAATCTCAGGGTTGTTTTGATTTGCATTTCCCTAATGGCTAATGAGGTTGAGCATTTCTTTAAGTGCTTCTCTGCCATTCGATATTCCTCTACAGAGAATTCTCTCTTTAGCTCTGTTCCCCATTTTTTAAGTGGATTACTTGGTTTATTGCTTTTCAACTTCTTTAGTTCTTTATATATATTGGATATGAGTCCTCTGCCAGATAAAGGGTTGGTGATGATTCTTTCCCAATCTGTAGGCAGTGGCTTTATTTTGATGACGGTGTCCTTTGCTTTACAGAAGCTTTTCAATTTCATGAGGTCCAATTTATTGATTGTTGCTCTTAGAGCCTGTGCTGTTGGTGTTCTGTTCAGGAAGTTTTCTCCTGTACCAGTTAGTTCTAGGGTCTTCCCCACTTTTTTTTCTAGCCGATTTAATGTGTCTGTTTTTATGTTGAGGTCTTTGATCCACTTGGACTTCAGTTTTGTGCAGGGCGATAAGTATGGATCTATTTTCATTTTTCTACATGTAGACATCCAGTTGGACCAGCACCATTTGTTGAAGATGCTATTTTTTTCCATTGTATGGTTTTGGCATCTTTGTCAAAAATCAGGTGTCCGTAAGTGTGTGGGTTTATTTCTGGGTCTTCTGTTCGATTCCATTGATCCACCATTCTGTTTCTATGCCAGTACCATGCAGTTTTTATAACTGTTGCTCTATAGTACAGCTTGAGATCAGGGATGGAGATACCTCCAGAAGATCTTTTATTATAGAGGATTGTTTTAGCAATTCTGGGTTGCTTGTTATTCCATACGAAGTTGAGAATTTTTCTTTCCAGGTCTGTAAAGAATTGTGTTGGCAATTTGATGGGAATTGCATTAAATCTGTTGATTGCTTTTGGTAAGATGGCCATTTTTACTATGTTAATCCTGCCAAGCCATGAGCATGGGAGATCTTTCCAACTTCTCATATCTTCCTCTAATTCTTTCTTCAGAGACTTGAAATTTTTTTCATACAAGTCTTTGACTTGCTTGGTTAGGGTTACACCAAGGTACTTTATGTCATTTGTGGCTATTGTGAATGGTGTTGTTTCTCTAATTTCTTTCTCAGTCCTTTTGTCTTTTGTATACAGGAGTGCTACTGACTTTTTTGAGTTAATTTTGTATCCGGCCACTTTGCTGAAGGTGTTTAACAGCTGTAGGAGTTCCCTGGTAGAGTTTTTGGGGTCACTCATATATGCTATCATATCATCTGCAAATAGTGATAATTTGACTTCTTCCTTTCCAATTTGTATCCCCTTGATCTCCTTCAACTGTCTTATTGCTCTAGTAAGGACTTCTATCACTATGTTGAAGAGATATGGAGAGAGTGGGCAGCCTTGTCTTGTCCCTGATTTCAGTGGGATTGCTTTAAGTTTCTCTCTGTTCAATTTGATGTTGGCTATAGGCTTGCTGTATATCGCCTTTACTATGTTTAGATATGTGCCTTGTATCCCTGATCTCTCCAATACTTTAAACATGAATGGATGTTGGATTTTGTCAAATGCTTTTTCAGCATCTAGGGAGATTATCATGTGTTCTTTTTTCTTTTAGTTTGTTAATATGGTGGATCACATTGATGGATTTCCGTATATTGAACCACCCCTGCATACCTGGGATGAAGCCTATTTGGTCATAGTAGATAATATCTTTGATGCGTTCTTGGATTCGGTTTGCAAGTATTTTGTTAAGTATTTTTGCATCAATGTTCATAAGGGAGATTGGCCTGAATTCTCTTTCTTTGTTGGGTCTTTGTGAGGTTTAGGTACCAGGGTGATTGTGGCTTCCTAGAATGAGTTTGGTAATGTTCCTTCTGTTTCTATTTTGTGGACTAGTTTGAAGAGAATTGGAGTTAGCTCTTCTTTGAAGGTCTGGTAGAATTCTGTGCTGAAGCCATCTGGTCCTGGGCTTTTTTTGGATGGGAGACTTTTGATGACTGCTTCTATTTCTTTGGGGGATATAGGACTAATTAATTGATTTACCTGGTCCTGATTCAGCTTTGGTAAGTCAAATCGATCAAGAAAATTGTCCATTTCATTTAGATTTTCAAATTTTGTTGAATATAGACTATGGAAGTAAGTCCTAATGATTGTTTGGATTTCCTCAGTGTCTGTAGTTATGTGCCCCTTTTCATTTCTGATTTTGTTGATTTTGGTGGTGTCCCTCTGCCTTTTAGTTAGCTTGGCTAAGGGTTTGTTGATCTTGTTGATTTTCTCAAAGAATCAGCTCTTGGTTTCATTGATTCTTTGAATTGTTTTATTTGTTTCTAATGGATTGATTTCAGCCCTGAGTTTGGTTATTTCCAGCCGTCTACTCCTTTTTGGTGTGTCTGCTTCTTCTTCTTCTAGGGTTTTTAAGTGGGACATTAAGTTGCTTGAATGAGCTGTCTCGAATTTCTTCTTGAAGGCACTTAGTGCTATGAACTTTACTCTTAGCACTGCTTTCATTGTGTCCCACAAGTTTGGGTATGTTGTGTCTTCATTTTCATTGAGTTCTAGAAAGGCTTTAATTTCTTTCTTTATTTCTTCCCTGACCCAGCTGTCATTTAGTAACAAGTTGTTCAGTTTCCATGTGTGTGTAGGCTTTTTGCTCTTTCTGTTGTTGTTGAAGTCCAGCTTTATTCCATGGTGATCAGACAGGATACAAGGGATTATTTCAGTCTTCTTGTATCTGTTGAGGCTTGCTTTGTGACCAACTATATGGTCTATTTTGGAGAAGGTTCCATGAGGTGCTGAGAAGAAGGTAAATTCTTTTTTGTTTGGGTGTAAAGTTCTGTTAATGTCTGTGAGGTCCATGTGATTCATGACCTCTGTCAGAGATACTGTTTCTGTTTTTAATTTCTGTTTTGTTTAACTGTCCTTTGTTGAGAGTGGGGTGTTGAAGTCTCCCACTATTAATGTGTGGGGATCTATATGTGGTTTAAATTTTATCAATGTTTCTTTTACAAATGTGGGTGCTCTTGTATTTGGGGCATAGATTTTCACGATTGTGATGTCTTCCTGGTGGAATTTTCCCTTGATGAGTATGAAGTGTCCTTCCTCATCTCTTTTTATTAATTTTGGTTGAAAGTCTATTTTATCAGATATTAGAATGGCTACTCCTGCTTGTTTCTTGGGTCAATTTGCTTGGAAAGTCATCTTCCAACCTTTTACCCTCAGGTAATGTCTATCTTTGTGTCTTAGGTGTGTTTATTGTATGCAACAGATTGCTGGGTTTTGTTTATGTATCCATTCTGTTAATCTGTGTCTTTTTACTGGAGAGTTGAGTCCATTGATGTTGAAAGAGATTAATGACCAGTGGCTGTTAGATCCTTTGATATTGATGTTGGCTGTGTTCATAAGGTTGTGTGCTTGGTTGCTTTTTCTTTTGCTGTGGTAAGGTTAATTATTTCCTATGTTTTCTTGACAGAAGCTAATTTTCTTGGGTTCTATTTTCCCTTCCAGTGTCTTCTGTAATGCTGGATTTGTGTGTAGGTATTGTTGAAATTTGTTTTTGTCATTGAATATCTTGTTTTCTTCGTCTATGAGGACTGAGAGTCTTGCAGGGTATAGTAGCCTGGGCTGACATCTGTCTTCTCTGAGGGTCTTCATTATATCTGTCCAGGCCCTTCTGGCTTTCATAGTTTCTGTTGAAAAGTCAGGTGTGATTCTAATGGGTTTGCCGTTATATGTTACTTGGCCTTTTTCCCTTGCAGCTTTTAGTATTTTTTCTTTGTTCTGTATAATTATTGTTTTGATTATTATGTGGCGGGAGGATTTTCTTTTCTGGTCAAATTTGTTGGGTGTTCTGTAGGCCTCATGTATCCTTATTGGCTTCTCCTTTAACTTGGGGAAATTTTCTTCAATGATTTTGTTGAAAATATTTTCTGGGCCTTGGAAAAGGGAGTCTTCTTTTTCCTCTATTCCTAGTATTCTTAGGTTTTGTCTTTTCATATTGTCTTGGATTTCTTGGACGGTCTGTGTCAGGAATTTTTTGGATTTAACATTTTCTTTGACAGATACATCGATTTCTTCCATTGTATCTTCTACACCTGAGATTCTTTCTTCCATTTCTTGTATTCTGTTGGTTATGCTTACCTCTGTAGTTCCTGTTTTCTTCCCTAGATTCTTCCTCTCCATTATTTCCTCCATTTGTGTTTTCTTTAATTTTTCTAGTTCTATCTTCAGGTCTTGAGTTGTTTTGTTTACTTCCTTCACCTGTCTGCTTGTATTTTCCTCTTTTTCTTTTAGTTCCTTCAACTCTGTCTCTTTGATTTCTTTCAGTGATTTAATTATTTCTTCTCTGAAGGCCACAAGCTGTTTGGCTGCATCTTCCCGTATTTCTTCACGGATGGCCCTAATTTGCTTGTCTTTATCTTCCTCCATTTCTTTACAGATAGCCATGATCTGTTTGGTTTTATCTTCCTCAAATTCTTTACTATTTTATTTGTTTCCTCTATTATCCTCTTCATCAACATCGATGTAATGTCATCTTCTTGATTTTCTATTATGCTGTGTTGTCCAGGGCTGTTCGCCCCTGGATGGCTGGGTTGTGGAGATGCCATATTGCTCTGTCTTTTGTTGGTTTAGCCTTTACGCTGACCTCTACCCATTCTGATGATTTAGGTGTTGGCTGTTAGTTTCTGTGTTTCCTGGAGTCCTGAGGTAGGGAGTATCCCCTTGGCTGGAAGATGATTTTTCCTGAAGGAGTCCTTCTCTGCTTTTTGGTTATGGTCACTGTATGGCCAGTGTTTCTCCGGAGATGCCACTGCTCACCTCAGGTTTATAGCCCTGAGTAGTAGCTTTGGTCTATGTTAGGCATGGGGGGATCTCCTCTTACCCATAAAATTTCTCAAGACAGCTGCCCCACTGCTGGGTTTCTTGTTATAAATTTAGTGTGCTGCTGCTCACTAAATTTCCATGTACAGTCCTCTTGAAGAAACTGCTGATTCCCTAGCTATGGGGTTTTCTCCCAACAGGGAAACTCAGTCTGTTATCCTGGGGCGCACAGTTCTGTCTGAGAAAGTGGGAGGTGCACTCAGCAAGTCTCTGGGCCAAAGGCTGATTGCTCTGCTTTGGACCTGGAGAATGTGCACCTAGGTTGAGTTGGCGCCTGGGGGCACTGTTCTGGTCTGGAGGCTGGGTGCCTCACTCTGGACCAGAAGCTGTGTGTCTCTGTCTGGGATGGCGGATGTAGGCACCACTCTGGTCCAGACGCTGTGGGTGCAGCCCCCCTGAGGGATCAGGGATTCCTACAGTTTTGGCAGTCCAGCCAGGGACAACTGGCCGATCCCTGGCACAGTATCTGAGGGCTGCTGCAATGGCTCTTCGGCTCCTGCAGGTCCGAGGATGCAGCTGTGTGTGTGTCCCAGTGCCCCAGGGGAACGCAACAATGGCGGCAGAGCACAGTGCTTCTGCCTGCACTAGAGTCTGCGTGAGTCCAGGAAGTGTTTTGGTGCTGGGTGTCCTAAGCGTTAGAGCTGCTGACCCCCTCCACTGGGGGTTTCCTCCTGCCAGAGACACGCAGTCTGATGCCCTTTTGCCCTGGTGCCCACAGTTCTATCTGAGGAGGCGAATCACGCGCGCAGGCAGGGCTCTGTGCAGGCAGGCGCCTTTGTCCCTCCCGGCTCTGGGTCCGGGCTGGCTCCTGGGGCACCCGCGGAACCCGAGTCTTTTCCAGGGGATGTCTGGGTAACCTGGGGTCGGTCCCAATTGTTTCCTGCTCCGTGGCGTTATCTCTCGACTGGGAAATCCAGTCTATGGTGTTGTGGGCCCACAGTTCAGTCTGGGACCGTGACCAGATCGCGCTGGCGGGTAGCTCTGGGCTGGCGATCAAGCGCCTGGTGGAATGGGGATCTCTTCCGCGGTTTTGCCGGGTGAGTTAAAGCTGATCGAATCCCCCACCGTGGGGTATCCTCTCACCTGAGAAACACAACCACTTGTGTTTTATGGCCGCGATTTCTGATTGCTGGTCACTGTGCCAATCCTGCTGTGCTGCTCCTCAGAATGAGAGTCCTCCAGGCGCTGCCATCTTGCCCCGCCCCCCAAAATACAGTTTTTTATTTATGCATGTATTATGATGTATAAATTATAACAGACACACACATACACACACAGACAGAGGCTAGAACCACAAAATCTTATTTTGGAAAATCAACCAGACCTTAGAATTTAAGGTACCCTACAGGTACCTATACTCCTTCCTGGGTTTAATGCTGAATTATGATATAGAATAGAGCATACTATATTATGGAATAGACAATAGCTGAATTAGCTGAAAGCTATATCCTGATCTTCATGCAAATATAAAGAAACTAGGCCTCCATGGGCTTTTAAAACATCAAACCACAACCCCAGTAGCATACTTCCTTCAACAAGGCCACACCTCCTAATCCTTCTAATCCTATCAAAAAGTTTCACTCTTTGGTGACTAAGCATTCAAAATATGGGCTTATGGGGGCCATTCTTATTCAAATCACCACATGGAGACAATGCAGCCACTCCTGATGAGACCTGATAGAGTAGGATCAGAAGGAAGGAAAGGAAGACCTCCCCTATCAGTGGAATTGGGGAGGAGCATGCATGGAAAAGGGGAAGGGAGGATGGAGTTGGGAGGGGAAGAGGGAGGAAGCTACAGGGAGGATACAAAATGAATAAAGTGTAATTAATAATAAAAAAGAGACGAAAATAATAAATATTTTTTTTTAAAAAAAAGGAAAAATATAAAACTGGTTAATGGACAGTGAACTGTGAGTTTCTTCTGAAACCTCTTCTACTTTTCTTTTTTTTCCCTATGACAGAACAACGAATACATTTGTTCCTTAAAAGCTGTTTGATTCATGGCATGCAGGAATCTCTTCTAGATGTCCCTGGAGGCCTCCTTTTCATTGAACCTGAGTTGGCAGAACTAGGCTGGAAGTTTGTTAATCTGATGCATCACAACCAGCAGGTATATAATCCATACTATGCTGAGATCCTAACAAATATCATCTCTTCATGAAATGGAGACAAAAACGACAAAAAGCCTATCTCATAATGCTGGTCCCAAGTCCTGGCACCAGGAATCCAACGAGAGGACTCATTATATTCCTGGAAAGACATCATCTGTTACCAACAACTACGGGCAGCCCTCTTCCTCATTAAGAGCCAGGATGCAACTGCAGAGACTAAACATATAAACACCAGATGGCCCAGTCTCCTTCATGAATAAATTCCTAAACTGCAAGAAAACCTCAGTGTTGTATATAATGTAGCTGAAGCCAAGTATCTTGCCCCTTTCTCCCAAGAATTTGAAAAAAAAAAAGAAAGAAAGAAAAAAAAAACCCACTGTGCTCTTGGGTTTCTCTGCAATGGCAGATCAGTTTTCAGTATGGTAGACTGGACAGGCATGAAGGCACGGTATTATTATTCAGTGAAAAAAATTTCCTTGAGTTATATTTTAAAATCTACTAGATTATCTATAATTAAATGCTTCTGAAGTCAGAAACCTACTGAATTACAAAATGAAAGAGAATACAAAATCACAATTCTATCAAAATTCCTTATGCTTTTAAAGAATATAGTGATTATAATATTACAACATTCTATTTTGGCATGTGGTTTGAAGCATTATGAAAATGACAATAGGTGAAAGTTGCCACTGTCTGCCGACATTCAAGTGAGCATTCAACAACCATTGGATTTCTCTCTGTAAAGTGATCCTACCAATAGAGATTGGAGTCACTGACAGTGACACTCACTTGGGAAATTAGATCAGTTATTGACTTGTATCAAATCTATTCTTTGTCCTGTCCTGCAATGTAATGATGCTTCTGTTTCCATATCTTTAGATTTAGAATACCTCATTCTTAAATGAGTATTGTGACTATTCAAAAATAGAGCAGTCATCTGTTGTTTTTTTAGTGCTCTTTGATTTTTTAAAAGAATTTTAAAATAATTTATTCTTCACACATTGCAACCCAAACAGTATTTGTTCCCTCTTCTCTTAGTTTCCAACCTAAACCTTCCATCTCCTCCAGTTTCACTCCTCCCTCATTTCCTTTCAGAAAAGAGGAGCCCTCTTAGGGCTCCTGTGCATAACAAGTTACAATAAGACTGCACCAGGCCATGGTAGAGGACAATGCAGCCAATTTTGATGAGAACTGATAGACTAAGATCAGAAAAGAGAGGAGAACCTCCCCTATCAGTGGACTTGGGGAGTGGCATGCATGCAGAAAGGGGAGGGAGGGTGGGAGCGGGAGGGGAGGAGGGAGGGGCTTATGGGGGGATACAAAATGAATAAACTGTAATTAATAAAAAAAAACAGACATGTTCTACTTCCATACTGAAAGGAAAATTATAAATACACAACTTTATTCTGAGAGACACCAAATCCAGATTGTGTTGATCCTCCAAATAAAGATACTGTAGGGATTTAAAATTCTAAAAAAAAAAAAAAAGACTGCACAAACACATATCAAGGCTGGACAAGACAACCAAGTAGAAGAAAAGGGGTCCCAAAAGCAGGCAAGTATCAGAGACATCCACACTCCCATTGTTAGGTGTCCCACAAAAACACCAAGGTACACAACCAGAACATATATGCAGAAGACAAAGCTCAGATCCATTCAGGCTCCTGGACTGTTGCTTCAGTTTCTGTGAACCCCTATGAGCCCTGCATGGCTGATTCTTTGGACTGTGTTGCCATGGTGTCTTCAATGCCTTAGGCTCCGACAAGCCTTTCTCTCCATCTTTCACGGGGTTCCCTGAACTCTGCCTAAATTTTTGTAGTGGTATGAGTTAAATTCTAATAATGTAGATTAAAATTAAACTTTTCTAAAGCCTGTAAGAACTGTCAGCAGCATATGTAGTTAGTAGCAAAAGTTCTCTGGATGCCCTTTTCTCTTTACCTGCTGTCATATCCCACACCTTCTCCCACTCACTTCAGTCTGGATTCTAACATTATTCTTTAAGTAATTATATATACCTTTTCGTTTGTTACACTTGCCTAAGTACTTTTTTTTTTTTTTTACCAATTCTGTTCTTAGGCTTGCAAGTGCTAGTTATGATTATTGGTGAAGTTAACACCACAGATGTGTAGGTTCACAATCACTTTCTATCATTTTCTGAGATTATACAAATTAACCCTGTCATTCGCAGGCAAAATGAAACAGATCAGCAGTTACATAGGAAATTAGAACAAGGTGAGATTTTGGATTGGACTTGATTAGAATGAAGAAATAGAAACAAAAGCATACTTATGGGATATCCCAATACTCTGAAAGAATGTTATTACCATTTCTGAAGATGGGAAGGCTGAATATAACTTGATTTATTCAAGAAAAAAACAGATAGGATTTGAGGTCTTTTATTTCCATGATGACCAAATTGATTTCTCCAAAGGGGAGATTCCAGCTGGGTGACACAGACAACTGAAAGAGAGATTTTTTTTTTTTAAATATTGGCATATCATTATATGGTATATTGTAATTTGATATATGCTTATAGTATATAATAACCAAATCAAAGTAATATCTATTTCTATGCCTTTAACAATTATTTTCATGTGTTGAAAATTTCATACCCTTGAAGTGATTTAGAAATATAGACTGTTTGAGCCAGTAGTTACTTGAGTATGTTAAGAAAGAATCAGATTTCTACCCCCTCCCCCGTTTGGATATGTATTTTTGCATTTGATTGAATAATACCATTTACCCAAATTCATCTTCCAAGTCTCCACACACAGCTAGTCTATTCTGTTTTTCCATGACAATGATTTATTAACAAAAATGATAAGTAAAATGTAGTATTAGCTTTTCTTTGTCAGGCTTATTGCACTTTGTATAGTGAACCCCAATTCGGGCCATATTGTTGACTTAGGTAAAGAAAATTGAAAAATTAAAAGAAAAACCCTGTAAAAAGAATCAATGATTCATCAGGAAAGAGTAATAATTATAAGATGTATGCCCTCAATATGGGAATAAACAAAAATTAGATCTAAATTTGAACACAATAATAGTTAGGGGCTTCAATGTCCTACTTTTCTCAGTAGATCATTTAGACAGAAAATCAATGGAGAAATCTCTTGAGTTTAGCCATACTATAGAACAAAATAATCATATCAGATCTTTTCCAGAACATTTTGTTCAAAGGCTTTTCATATACTTTGCTTTTCATATCCCAGTTAAATATTATTTTGGTTTCCTGATAGTGGCTACTAAAAGTGCTTAATCTTGACTGTTCTATTAACTATTAATTTTTTAAATAGACCTTTTGTAATAATTATTTTGTCCCTTCTGTTCACCTAATGTGTTAAATTACAAGTATAATGAATGATATTGGGATTGTAAAGAGAAAAAAGTGTAAATTATTAAAGGAAAAACTGTAACTCCCTCACCCCAAAGCAAACAACATCAACAGACCAATGGATCCATAAGAAGACACACTGAGAACCTAGAAGCAGACTTTACCAATAGTACAGAAGTCATAGGAAATGTATTGCTTACATTAGTGTTGGGTAATTGTGGAAATATAATAAAATGGTTAGGATTTTATTTACTTTCTGGAAGAATAATAGAGTGCATATATGTGATTTAAAGCAGCAGGAGGGATCTGGGAGGAGTTGGGGAAGAGAAAAACACATGACTAAAACATACCATATGAAAAGCATTTTTAATTTGAAAACATACTCATTTAAAGAATAACAGCTCAATATTACTCAGATAAAAACAAGAGAGTAGAAAGAAGAAACTGAGTCTTTGGGGGAGAGTATTTAACGTGGATGTACCATTAATGGTGCTAACTCCACAATCTCAGCACTTAGACAAGTTTTGAGTTTCTGCATTAACCTATTATCTACTGTTAAATGAAGCTTCTCTAACAAGGCCTGAGTGCTGCGCTAACTACAGGAAGGATACAGGTGTTCATAATGCAGTTTGCTATGGTGTTTGTTCATTGAGCAATGGAATAGTAATAAGTCCCCCCTGGGACCTATGAGCTTTTGAGCTATGGGTTTTTTTTTTTTGTTTTGTTTTTGTTTTTTCAGTATTTACATTATCAGCTTCTGTTTTCTCCTGTGGAGTGGGCCTAAAATCCAACCAGAAAGCAACAGCATCTATGCCACTATTCCATCCATGAACAATAATAGCTGATAGGGTTCACATCTGGGAAAATTGTTGGCCACCTTTCTCTCCCAGCAGACTTATATAGGATCTTCAGATACTATGAAAGCTAACCACAAGCAAAGAAGCTTGTTTTCTACATGTCCTGTGACACAAAAGTATGTGATATTTTCCATAGTAGGGTCGTATTATCAAATGCTGGTGGGCAACCAAGAATATTGACACTACCCTGTATTCCCAGGGATTAACAACAACAAAAAATTTCCCAAGGAGTTTGCTTGACACCCCTGACAAATAACTCTGAGGGAGGTATCCCACACCTTACACTGGGCTTTTTAGCTCACAACCTCTGGTTTTGGGGATAAGCACTGTTCCCTCTGTTGCATTCTAGAAACACCATTGAAAATGGGAGAAAGGACTGTCAGAGTCAAGGTTGGGAAGGACCAGGGTGGAACAGTGTCTTCTTTATGTGTCAGGACTGGTATACTCATGGATTTGCAGCAACTATGGTTGTCTGTATAATATCAAGCCAGTCCTCTGGTTCCCTCCCTTGGACTTTCAATAAATCTTTCCTTCACTTCTTTCTCACCTCTTCATCCAAGTACCAGTGAAATTTTCCTTACCTCCATATATCTGACAGTTATACAAACAAAACCACAGATGCACTTTCATAATCTTTTAGATGGGCTCAATGAAGGAGAATTGTGACCACCACTCAAGTGTTCCCATTCAGCTGGATGAAGCCATACTGTTTTGTCAACCTAATTCCATAACAGTAGTTAGGGTTACCACTTCAGAAGGAAATAATGAGAATGGAAGATAGAAGCTGACTAAGCAGTTAAATGTAAAAAAAAAAAAAAAAAAAAAAAAGCCCTAAAAAGAAGTAATATATTTTTTTTCC